GTGAAAAACTTTGTTTTTACGGGTTAATTTTTTTGGAGCCAAAATGGCCCTCTCCTCTAGCCAGACAGCATCTTGAAAGTGTTGTTGAATGTTTGGGTACATTTTTTTCTCCAGTTCCTCTTCTGAAGTGGAAAGGATGCCTTTAGGCATGGTGATAAGTCCATCTGTGCCGTCAGCAAGAATTCTGCCACTTCCAATATCAAGAAGAGCTTCAGCAAAGTGTCCTGCCTCTTGGTCTCCATGGAGATATACACGCATGTTTGTAGTTAGTCTCAGTTTCAATAGGTGGCTCCAGAGGAATGAAGACTTGATGTAGACATTTAACTCATCAGCTTTGGTTCCTCGAAGTACCACAGGTAAGGTTTGTCGGAAGTCACCAGCCATGAGAAAAGTTACACCACCCATAATCCTGGAATTGTTGCGGAGGTCCTTCAAAGTTGTGTTGACAGCCTCAAATGCTCCCTTGTGGGACATGGTGCATTCATCCCACACTATTAATTCACAATTAACCAGGACTTGTGCAAGGGCAGTCCCCTTTGAAATATTGCAAACAGTGTTTTCTTGTCGGGATAGATCTAATGGAAGCTTGAATTTGGAATGGGCAGTTCTTCCTCCAGTAAGCATAGTTGCCGCAATCCCTGATGATGCCACAGCCAGGGCAATTTTCTCCTTTCGGCGAACCTTAGCCAGGAGCAGGTTGAGGACAAAGGTCTTCCCAGTACCGCCAGGTGCATCAAGGAAAAAAATTAACCCGTAAAAACTAAGTTTTTCACTATAAATCCTTTATATGTGTGGCATCGGTTTCATTTTATTATTCATTTCTGTTTTTCTTGAGTAAGCAAGCAAGCAAGCAAGTGAAGTTAATATAAAGGATTTAAAAATGAAAAATCACCTCTTGACATGCCCCGTATATTCCCGAGGGCACTAGCGTTGATCCGTTTTACCACTTTCAAGAACCTGGCGGCTTCAATTTAACTGCTCTATAAATAGTCTCCACAGTATAGCGTGGGGGCAGGGATTTCATGCCATGTGGTTAGTCAACATTTGCGTCATCATGAAACGGGCGGCTAGAGTCCTCTCGTCCTCTGGCTTGAGATGGCTGCCACCTATGGGTCAGATGATTGTCTGCCACCATTAAGCAATTGGTAATTAAATATTTTAAAAAAAATTCTCTAAACAGTGTAAAATTTTGGAAAAAAATTTTCACGAACATTAATTGTCACGCACAACGAGTCTGTGTGCAAAATGTCAGCTCGATTGGATCACGGGAAGTGGGTTAAAAAACGACCGAAAGATTTGCACGGTCGTAAGCAAGCAAGCAAGCACGCAAGCATGCAAGCAAGAAAGCAAGTGAACTTAATATAAAGGATTTAAAAAATGCCTCCATTTTTAAACTCAATGTCTTCCAAGATGTTTGTGTAGGCTTCTCTTTGTGCATCCATCAGCTTTGGTTCATTTTCCTCAATAAATTTGAAAAGCTCTAAACCATCATAGGATGTTTCACGTAGGATCTCTTGTGCAAGGCCATGCATGTTTTCCCTGGAGGATTGAAGTTTATTCTCCAGGAGGATGAGGGTCTGGATAAAGATGTCATTATTAAAGTGCACATCGATGTTTGGATTTTCTCGTTGAGCTTTGTGGAGGATGTCCTCACTCATGACCTCTTTGTATTTTCCACAAAGTCCCGTGGGGTTTGAAGGGCTGCAGACTTGAATAATAATGCAAAAGAGCATTCTGAGTTGAGAAGAAGACTGACTAACAGAAGCCTGTGTCATAGCTTTGTCAAGATGCTGGTCATCCTCAAGTATTCCACGAAGACTGCAAGCTTCCCTGTATGTTTCACACACAACCCCTTGCACAGTTTTTAGGTCTTGGAAAGATTTGGGCCCTTTGACAACATAGAGAAGCATTCTCAGAAAGTAGCACTCCTGATAGTTGGGATGAACCGTTTAGACTCTTCCCAAAGCATCAGATGCGCCGTCACCAGCACGCCGCTTCCATTTTTTTGCGCAGTCTACGTATAGTAGGAGGGAACCTCATGGTAGAGCAGGTTAGCAGCAAATGGATCACTTTGGCACAAACCAAAAAACGCCATGAGGGTTGTATCGCGTGGAGCCAGGGCTTGTTGTTGGGCATTTCTTTCGCTGAAGTAGATGCGTTGACCATTTTCTAGGTGGACTGCCAGTGATCAAAATTTTAATCGTAAATATTTGAAAAAAAACTTTACCAAAAAGTACACATTCGTTAGTCCCTTGGTAGTAAGTGCTACTTTCTATGCGCTGACATCTCAAAAGTTACAAATGGGCGAAAATTCCCCTCAAACTTAGTTTTTGTGACATGGACAGTGATCAAAATTTTTATCGTAAATATTTTTACAAATTTGCCAAAAAGTACACATTTGTTAGTCCCTGGGTAGTAAGTGCTACTTTCTATGTGCTGACATCTCAAAAGTTACAAATGGGCGAAAATTCCCCTCAAACTTAGTTTTTGTGACACGGACAGTGATCAAAATTTTAATCGTAAATATTTTTAAAAAAATCCAAAAAGTACACATTTGTTAGTCCTTGGGTAGTAAGTGCTACTTTCTATATGCTGACATCTCAAAAGTTACAAATGGGCTAAAATTCCCCTCAAACTTAGTTTTTGTGACACGGACAGTGATCAAATTTTAATCGTAAATATAATTTATTTTTTGCCAAAAAGTACACATTTGTTAGTCCCTGGGTAGTAAGTGCTACTTTCTATGCGCTGACATCTCAAAAGTTACCAATGGGCGAAAATTCCCCTCAAACTTAGTTTTTGTGACACGGACAGTGATAAAAAAATTTATCGTAAATATTATTATTATTTTACCAAAACGTACACATTTGTTAGTCCCTGGGTAGTAAGTGTTACTTTCTATACGCTGACATCTCAAAAGTTACAAATGGGCGAAAATTCCCCTCAAACTTAGTTTTTGTGACACGGACAGTGATCAAAATTTTAATCGTAAATATTTTTAAAAATTCCAAAAAGTACACATTTGTTAGTCCCTGGGTAGTAAGTGCTACTTTCTATGCGCTGACATCTCAAAAGTTACAAATGGGCGAAAATTCCCCTCAAACTTAATTTTTGTGATACGGACAGTGATCAAAATTTTAATCGTAAATATAAAAAAGAAATTTGCCAAAAAGTACACATTTGTTAGTCCCTGGGTAGTAAGTGTTATTTTTTATACGCTTACATCTCAAAAGTTACAAATGGGCGAAAATTCCCCTCAAACTTAGTTTTTGTGACACGGACAGTGATCAAAATTGTCATCGTAAATATAATTTTTTTTTACCAAAAAGTACACATTTGTTAGTCCCTGGGTAGTAAGTGTTATTTTTTATACGCTGACATCTCAAAAGTTACAAATGGGCGAAAATTCCCCTCAAACTTAGTTTTTGTGACATGGACAGTGATCAAAATGCTTGCCATGCTGTGTGTGTCCTAACCGCGGTGGCTGAGTGGCCCCGCCGTGACCATGCAATTTCAAGTCAATTCATGGCGCCGCGCTGCAATTTAACCTCGGGGAGGATCGCCCAATTCCCTGGCCACAGGAAACCGTGGAGATTAGTCCCATGAGAGGGCTCCTGGGTAAAAACCTGGAGCCAGGTGACTTCTCCCGAAGTCCTACATGGGGTGTTTGTGTGCGTTCATGTGGGGGGTTGTGGGGGGAGAGCAGCATCGGCCAAGCTGCTTTGTTGTGTTGGCATCGCGGGCGCGGCGCCGGCAGAGCAGCTTCACCGCTGTGGCATCTCAGGATTCCTGCAGTCACGAAAGCTTCAAATCAAGATTCAGCACTACATTGTTAAATGGAATAGCGCTGGATAACCACGGGGCTTACGGTGTGGAACCCGGCTACTTTATTTCAACGTGAACCCCACGGGTTGCGAGCCAAATCCTTCGCAAGTTGCGTCCACACACACAGACAGACAGACACACAGACAGACACACAGACAGACACACAGACAGACACACAGACAGACACACACAGACAGACAGACACACACACAGACAGACAGACACACACACACACAGACAGACACACAGACAGACAAACACACAGACAGACACACAGACAGACACACAGACAGACAGACAGACAAACAATTACGTTTATAGGTAAGAAGCCCAATTACTGTAAAGGCGAGGTGATGTTGATTCTAAATGTGGAGGGAAAATACCAGAGGACACGGAGACAAAATCTACTCAGTGACCACCACGGGGAGAGAGACACAGACTCCACATCATATGCAGCAGCAGCAGCAGGCATCGTCAGTGTTGGATTCGAACCCAAGAACTCCAGTAGACCGGGTGAGGTAGTTAACATCTCATAGCCACCGTGATGATGATGATAGAAAGAGAGAGACGCAGACTCTAAATATACAGCAGAAGGCATCGTCAGGATCGGGATCGAACCCACGACCTCCTGTAGACCAAGCGAGGTAATTAACATTTCCCAGGGTTGGGATCGAACCCACGACTTCCTGCACACCAGGCGAGGTAGCCAACATTACATAGCCACCGTGATTATGATGAGAGAGAGACGCAGACTCAAAATATACAGCAGCAGCAGGCATCATCAGGGTCAGGATCAAACACACCGATCTCCTGTAGACCAGGCGAGGTAGTCAACATTTCGCTAGACACCTTGGTCTTCATGGTCAGGATCGAACCCACGGACCTCCTGCATACCAGGCGAGGTAGTCAACATCTCGCTAGACACCTTGGTCTTCATGGTCAGGATCGAACCCACGGACCTCCTGCATACCAGGCGAGGTAGTCAACATCTCGCTAGACACCGCTCAAGAGCGTGTGGGTTTGTGAAAGCATTCTTGAAATACCACCACCACCATCATCACCACCAGGGGGCAGCTCGCGTGACTGTGTGTGTGCGTCTGTGTGTGTGTGTCTGTGTGTGTCTGTGTGTCAGTATATAAATGAACACACGTCAGGAACCCTCGCACGAACACCCGCACCCGCAGCTCGTGCGGCTGACGGAGGTCTCGAAGAGTGAAATTCTTGCGCCGCTGCTCTCGAAGCAAGGAGCAAGGAGGAAGGGAAAAAAACACAAAACAGGAGCTTTAAACCACACACACACACAAAACAATTAGATAATACAACATACACACATATACATGCGAATAATTGGTTTTGTTTCAGAAGAAGATCGATGACAATTCGAATTTAGAGGGTAAGGAACAATGCCTCTGCCGGTCGTGGTGGTGGTGGTGGTGGCGGTGTTGGCCCTGCAAATCGGTGAGTTTAAGGGGCCGGTTTCTTGGAACGATCGGATGAGTCTCTGTGTTGGTCTCTGTGTGGGTCTCTGTGTGGGTCTCTGTGGGTTTCAGTGGGTCTCTGTGGGGGTCTCTCTGGGTCTCTGTGGATCTGTGTGGGTCTCAATGGGTTTCTGTGTGTCTCTGGGTCTGTGTGGGTCTCTATGGGTTTTTTGTGGGTTTCTGTGGCTTTATGTGGGTCTCTGTAGGTCTGTGTGGGTCTCTGTGGTTCTATGAGACTTTATGGATCTCTGTGGTTCAATTATTCTCTGTGGGTCTCTGTGGTTATATGAGTCTCTATGGGTCTCTGTGGGTACTGTAGGTCTACGAGTCTCTGTGGGTTTATATGGTTCTATGTTTCTCTGTGGGACTCTGGTGGTCTATGAGTCTGTGTTTCTATGGGAATCTGTGGGTGTGTATAGTGCACAGCTTATTGTGAGTAGTGTATAGTGTAGTGTATAGCAGAGTACGTGTCTTGTATAGTGTGGGGAGCGGTAGTGTAGCGGTCAGCGCTACGCTGCGCTATGAACCTGGCGACCCGGGTTCGATTCCCGCTCACGACCAACGCCAGTGATGATTATCTGAACCGGTCCTGGGCCTCCCCTAGGTCGACTCAGCCTAAAATCAGTACCTGGTGCAGTGTGCAGTAAACATCGCCACTGGGGAGACAAAGGCGGCCGGGCGTGTTGCTGGCCACCCACCCCCTCGTGTGCCGTGCCGGCCTTCATAGATGCTCGCTAACAGCACTTGCCCCTACAGTCTGTTAAGGCTACACGGGGGATATTTGCAGTGTATAGTGGAGTGTGTAGTATATACTGGATTCGTGACCACCACGTGGTAGTCACGTGGTGGTCACGACTTGGTGGTCACGTGGTGGTCACGGTGTGGTCACGTGGTGGTCACGGTGTGGCCACGTGGTGGTCAAGTGGTGGTCACGACTCGGTGGTCACGTGGTGGTCACGGTGTGGTCACGTGGTGGTCACGTGGTGGTCACGACTCGGTGGTCACGTGGTGGTCACGGTGTGGTCACGTGGTGGTCACGTGGTGGTCACGCCTTGGTGGTCACGGTGTGGTCACGTGGTGGTCACGGTGTGGTCACGTGGTGGTCACGTGGTGGTCACGACTTGGTGGTCACGGTGTGGTCACGTGGTGGTCACGTGGTGGTCACGACTTGGTGGTCACGGTGTGGTCACGTGGTGGTCACGGTGTGGTCACGTGGTGGTCACGTGGTGGTCACGGTGTGGTCACGGTGTGGTCACGTGGTGGTCACGTGGTGGTCACGGTGTGGTCACGTGGTGGTCACGTGGTGGTCACGTGGTGGTCACGACTCGGTGGTCACGTGGTGGTCACGGTGTGGTCACGTGGTGGTCACGTGGTGGTCACGACTTGGTGGTCACGGTGTGGTCACGTGGTGGTCACGTGGTGGTCACGACTTGGTGGTCACGGTGTGGTCACGTGGTGGTCACGGTGTGGTCACGTGGTGGTCACGTGGTGGTCACGGTGTGGTCACGGTGTGGTCACGTGGTGGTCACGTGGTGGTCACGGTGTGGTCACGTGGTGGTCACGTGGTGGTCACGTGGTAGTCACGACTTGGTGGTCACGTGGTGGTCACGGTGTGGCCACGTGGTGGTCAAGTGGTGGTCACGGTGTGGTCACGTGGTGGTCACGTGGTGGTCACGACTTGGTGGTCACGTGGTGGTCACGGTGTGGTCACGTGGTGGTCACGTAGAGGTCACAACGTTGCTACGTGGAAGTCAAGTGGTGGTCACGGCGTGGCCACGCCCTACCGTGGAATTCCACCACCGCTTGCGCACTTTCTGCATCGGACGCGATTTGGTCGCTGGGAAACTGGCACGCGGTGGCTCTGCCTTGCTGCTGCTGCTGTAGCCGGCGCAGGCTTGAACCGTGGGACGAGTCTGTTCACTTGTTTTGTGTTTGTTTAAAGGGAGTGAGATGTTAACTATCTCGCCTGGTGTTGAGGAAGTTGTGGGTTCGATCCCGACCTTGACGATGCCTGCCGCTGTATATTTCGAGTCTGCGTGTCTCTCTCTGTCCCTGTGGTGAGATGTTAACTACCTCGCCTGGTATACAGGAGGTTTCAGGGGTCCGATCCCGAACTTGACGATGCCTACCGCTGTGTATTTGGAGTCTGTATTTCTTTCTTTCATCATCATCACGGTGGCTAGGAGATGTTAACTACCTCGCATGGTATACAGGAGGTCGTGGGTTCGATCCCGACCTCATCGATGCCTGCCGCTGTAGATTTGGAGTCTGCGTCTGTTTTTGTCTCTCTCCCTGTGGTGAGGCCACTAGGAGTTGAGACTGGAACGGGGCACGGGTGGCTCTGGCTTGCTGCTGTAGCCGGCGCAGGCTTACCCGTGGACGGGGCGTGCCTCTAACACGAAGTCCTCTTCATAATCAACGTTTTTGGGTTAGATCGCGTTATTTATAAATGTGTCGTAACCCTCCACCACCCGACACGGCCAATCAGCAAAAAAGTGTCACGTTGACAAAAGACAAATAGTTCACTGCTTTAGCCCACCGGTGTGTTGAAGAGTGAAACCACATTTTTTATTTTGAGTACGGCGTTTCGCTGGTAATTGCATCCAGCATCATCGGGCAATTCGCCAGACTGGTGAGGGGCTCTGCTGTGTCTCCCGGTCTTATATAGAGCAGCATCATTTAACTCATCAGATGCAACGATTTGAGGCAGAGAGGGGGGTATTGTAATTATATACTAGATTGGTAATCATTCAATTCTAGATTTGAAGCTTTCGTGACTGCAAGGATTCATACTCTGATTTTTTCGGTAAAGTCACGTAAGTAAAACAATTAATAAAATAAAATAAATGAAAATAACTAAATTGTGTTGCCTCCGAAACGTCGTGATTTAATTGAGTTGTTTTCATTTATTTTATTTTATTTATTGTTTTACCTACATGACTTTACCTAAAAAACCAAAGAGTATAATCAGTCAATTGTTACGATGTGAGTTGTAGACGAGTAATCAGTTGTAATGTGTGTTATTGCAATTATATGCTACGTTAGTAATCAGTTAATTAGTGTGTGTTTCCCCTATAAGGAATTGTAATATGTATTATTTAATAATACGCTTCCAGGCCACACTAAGCCTGTAGCTGTCAGAGCGATTAAAGTTATTTCTGTTTCTCTCAATTTCAATGGATTCTCTCATTAGTCTTGGCCAGTAGTAACTAGTTTTACACAATACTTCAACGTTATATAATCAATTGCGTGTCCCTGTTGGCAAGTATGTTCTGCCACTGCCGACAGTTGTGTTTGAGATATATTTCTTTGGTGTTATTTTAGTCTTACACTGATGTTACGCCCCGTCTGTCCAATATAGCATCTGCCACATAAACAATTAATCCACCTGCTGTTGATAATTTAGGTATTCGTCTTTAGTGCACGTTACTAGTTTTTGAATTGTGTGTACTGTACCAAATCTTACTGTAATGTTTTGCTTTTGCAAAACCCGGGCTAATTTGTCAGTTACTCCTGAGATAAATGGTATTATAATTGTTTTAACAATCTGATCGCTTTCAGCAGTGTTGCTTTGCGATCGTGATTTGGCATTTAGTGCTCTGTTAGTTTGAGCATTATTGTAGCCATTCTGTCGTAATGCTTCTTTAACATGTTTCATCTCTCTCACTAGACTTTCACCATCTGACACTGTTTTAGCCCGATGTATGAGCGTCTTGATAAGAGAGGATTTCTGAGCTGGGTAATGATGCGTATCTGCATTCAGATAGGCATCAGTGTGCGTTTGCTTTCTGTAAACGCTGTGTGTTATTTTTGCCATTTAGGCCATGTCCAAGTAAAATATCCAGGAACGGTAGTGTTATTCACCTCCATTTCCATGGTAAACTGGATGGCCGAGTTTTGTGCATTGAGATGATTTAGAAAATCGTTAAGTGTATCTTTACCATGTGGCCAGACAACCAAGGTGTCATCCACATATCTTAACCAAAAGGATGGTTTTAATGTGCTCGAGGCAAGTGCTCTTGTTTCAAAGTTTTCGATGTACAGATTTGCTATAGCAGGAGATAAAGGAAAGCCCATTGCTGCGCCTTCCCTTTGTTTAAATAAATCACCTCTCCATAAGAAGTAAGTGTTATTTAAACAATGGTCAGCGAGTTTCGGAATATCTTTTGGTAAACCTGTATTCTTTACCAGTGTTTCAAGTAATTTAAGCGACTCGCTCACTGTAACCTTAGTGAATAGCGAAATCACATCAACACTCACCAAAATATAATTAGGGTTAAGTTTAATATCTTCAATCACATTCACAAGATGTTCTGAATTTCTTATGAATGAAGATGTCCTACCGATGTAGGGCTGTATTTGTTTAGTTATATATTTTTCAAATTTATATGTGGCAGAGCCAATTGTACTGACTATGGGTCGTAATGGGATGCCGATTTTATGAATATTTGGTAGCCCATACAGTCTGGGTGGGTTTGAAATCCTTGGCTTAATTTGGAATTGCTCATTCTTCGGGATTGATGAATTTGCAATTATAGCAGTAGTCTTACGTTGCTCAATATTAGTTGGATCTCGTTTAATTTTAATGTAGGTTACTTCCCTCTAGTACATCTTTAATTTTATTATCAGAATCGGCTCGTGACATCACTACAGTAGTGCGACCCTTATCAACTGCCATGATTTAAATATCTTTATTTAGACGAAGCTCTCTTAAGGCTTTTGCTTCGTTCGAGCTAGTATTTACTTTTGGTACTTTACTATTCTCAATTATTTTGGCAACCTCGTGTCTAGTCATCTCTGCCTCATTATGTGGAAGGAGTCTTACTGCTGATTCTACCTCAGCAATTATCTCATCCACTGGAAATGTGCGTGGGGTAACGGCAAAGTTAAGGCCTTTAGAAAGGATAGAAATCATGTCACTGGTTAAAACAGTGTTAGTCAAGTTCATTACGGTTCTGTTTTAAAATTGTTCGTTTTTAGTAGGGATTTGTTTATTATGAAGTCTAGAGAATTTATTACTTAGGCTAGTTTTTGTTACATTAAACACATTATCAGTCGATTGTTGTGTTATGGTATCGATTATATTCCAATAATGCATGGATACATTATTGCTTATATCTATATCTAAGTGTAACTGCTTTAGCGATTCCAGAATGTCGGAAGATTGTGTTGTATTCTCTTTATTAATAATAATTCGCTAGCTTTGTGTAGTATTTGGTTAGCTTTAGAAGACTTTATGTGATGTGTTATTTTAACTGCGTTTGGTATTACCTTAGAATCTCTGCACCTTTTGAGGAACGCCAATGAATATATCAATTTCATCCGCTTAATGCGGAGCTTCTCCAATTTTCTGGTTTTAAGAAAAGTATCCTCCCCATAGAGGTTAGTCAGTTTAACACGTATTAAACTGACGAAGTCATCTACCTGTGGGAACTTTTCCTTCGTCCAGTATGAAAGCTGCGGAAAAATAAGATTGTGTTTTATTCCTTTTCTCTGGCAATAGCAAAACAAGAGATGTGTTAAGATGTCCAAATGCCCAATAGGTGTGATACCTTTTGCAAGGAGTGAAGTCTGCATTACCCAACGCACACTTTAAGCGCTCATTTGCGCTGAAAGTGTTTTTTCACTTACTCTTTGGTTCTTTCGGTAAAGTCACGTAGATATAATATAAAATAAATCACGACGTTTTGGGCGCAACACAAGCGTCCGTCATCAGGTGGGAAAGCATGGCCTGCTGCTGAGGCAGACTGTTTGAAAAGGTTTGAAATGGGTGTAGCCCAAGGGTCATAAAGAAGTGGCCGGGGCTAGTGATGTTAATGTGAGAAATTAGCATGTAGCTGTAAGATAGGAGAGTGGCCTCCTAGACGAGGGAGTGCAACCCAACGGGTGTAATCCAAAGGGCCTGTGAGCATGAGAGTGCAATCCAAAGACAAGAGAGTGCAATGCAACGGACATGTGAGCATGAGAGAGGCATAGAGAGAGAGACACAGAGAGTCGAAATAACAGCTGATATAGGCAGGTATGATGGAAACATCACAGTCAGTTAAGACTTTACCTGGTTAATAACGTCCTTCCAATGATTGCTCAATTTGTACCCATCCTCTCGTACACTCATTTCAAACCTTTTGAAACAGTCTGCCTCAGCAGCAGACCATGCTTTCCCACCTGATGACGGACGCTTGTGTTGCGCCCGAAACGTCGTGATTTATTTATTTTATACCTACGTGATTTTTCCAAAAGAACCTAAGAGTATAGATTCCTGCAGTCACGAAAGCTTCAAATCAAGTGTTTTTTCACATTAAGTGTTTTTTTCTTTCTAATCTCCGCTTATGGCCGTGTAAAGCAAGGAATTGTTTTTATTTTTATCGGTCGCCCTCGTGGCGTTATTCTAAATCGCAAATGATAGCGGCTCCCTGAAGTGGCTACCATTTATGATGTGATCGCTTTATGCGTTAAGCTATAACAAAACCTACATCGAAAAATAAAATGCCGCTAAGCATTTTTTTCTTCCCCTCCTGCTTAACGACCACCATGAAGGGCCATTTTTACTGTCGATCTCGTGGCCTTATTCTCAAAAGTTTACCTTTTTCGCTTGCACTGATGTTGTCATCACGGCTTGCAGGGAATGGAGCCGGGAGCAGTGTGGGACGTCAGTTCTTCGGCGCATTTATGCAGAACTACGAGGTGGGAGTCGAAGCGCTTGTGGTGGACTTCGCCAGCTACGACAGCAGCGCTCAGGTCACCGTCTCGGTCCCCGCGGTGAACTTCTCGCAATCCGTCCTCCTGCCTCCCTTCTCCGTCGGCAATGTATCCATCCCGGTAACGGCAGAGATCGCAGAGAACAGCATCGTCACCAACAAGGTCGTGTCCGTTCATTCAGACAGTGACATCTCAGTCTGGGGCGTATCTAGAAAAACTAGAACTACTGATGGATTCATGATGATCCCTGAGCAGGAGCTGGGAATAGAATATTACGTAGTCGCTCCTGTGCCTGGTGGTTTAGGTAGCGTGAACGAATTCGCGATAGTCAGTCCCTACAACAACGTGACGGTGCAGATTATTTTGAGCAGCAGTGTTACATTCAACGGTTTAACGTACTCCAACGAACTGAACATCACTCTGCAAGAGAACCAAGTCGTGCAGTTCCAAAAATTATCTCTGACTGGGACAAGGATACTTTCGAGTCAACCTGTGGCCGTGTTCAGTGGAGATCGGTGCAACTCTGTTCATACTAATTGCAATTTTGTAACAGAGCAGCTTTTGCCAGTATCGCAGTGGGGCTCCTCTTACCTGGTCTTCCCTGTGTCCATCAAGTCTACAGACGACAGCGTCATAATCACCTCACCTACAAGCGAGAGCGTCAGTGTCAATGTCAGTGTCGCTGGGAGTTTAACAACCTACACGTTGACCAATTACGGTCTCATCAGCGTACCTGTATATGCAAACCAGACTTTGTCTATAAACTCATCTGCAAACGTAGGGGTCATGTACATGTGCCAGGGTGGTAATCTGTCTCCAGAGAATTTCATGGACCCATTCCAGATGAACATCATACCGACCAGCAAGTTATCTAACAAGTACTTGTTTGCGACTCAACCAAATTTTACAAACATGTTGATCGTGATCGCCAAGGATGCAGACAAATGTGGGATCATCATCAACAACGAGGCACTGTGTGATAAGATCCAGTGGGTCCGGACAAACGACCTCCAGTTCGTGGCCGGGGAGCTGAACCTGGGACTTGGAAATCAGCAGTTCCGGGTGGAACACGCGACTCAGCCGTTCGGGCTCTACCTCTACGGGGCGGCATACTCGGATTCATTTGGCTACGTCCTCAGCTACGGCAACCTAAGAGGTAACTAAACGCTGAGGATTTGTACCAAGATCAGCCAGATTTGTGGCATCGCAAATCTAACGTCTACTACTACTACTATTATTCCACTATCATACACGACGCCATTACAACCCCCACCACCACCCTCGCGAATGCCCCTCCTCAATTGTGACCTCGCTCACATTTGATTGGCTTCCTGGTAACCGCGGTGCAATGGCGTCACACGCATGTGCCATTACAGTCCCTACCCCCTGGTGGATGGGCTGAGTCTGTGCACAACTGAAGTTCTCCATAATAGATTTTTTTTTTTGTTTAGATCGCGTAAATATATAAAAGTGTCGTTAAAATCCGCCCCCACCCGACACAGCCAACTAGTAAGGGTTGTCACGGAAACAGAACGTGTCCAATTCGTCACTAGGACAGCACACCGGTGTTGCAGATCCACAACATTTACAATACGCGATATAACCCAAAAAACCTCCATTGTGGATGATATTGGTCGCGAAAGCCCACGTCTTAAAGCAACTGAAGTTGTGGTTTGGGCAGAGGCGGCGTCTGCTGTGAATCGTCCACGTGGTTTGAGTATTTAATTGAGAAACTGGCATGCGTTGCCAGCGGCTTCTCACATTTTGGCCTCGCACGGAGACCCATAGATGTACAGATACTCACAGACTCCCATCCATACCCCCAAAGACCCAGAGACCCATACAAACATAGAGACCCATGGTGAAACTAGGCTGAAATTGCATTTTTCGCTAAACGCGTTTAGAGTTAGATCGCGTAAATACAAATGTACCATTAAACTCGCCACCACCTAATGAAGCTGATTGTAATTACTGGCGAAACGCTGAACTCCGATGGTAAACATTGTGGATTTTAACTCCGACACAGCAGTTAGTAGTGTATTAATTTACTACACGATACACTAAACTATACACTACACTATACACTACACTATACACTACTACACTATACACTACTACACTATACACTACACTATACACTACACTATACATTACACTACACACTAGTGATGTACTAGTACGAATTGGCACGTTCTGTTTACGTGCCACTAAACCTTACTGATTGGCTGTGTCGGGTGGTGGCGTTGTTTAACGAGACATTTATGGATTTACTCTCCAACACACCGGTGTGCTGTACTTATGTACTACACTACACGCTACACTATAATCGATATTAAGCACTATATATTACACTACACATTACACTACACACTAGTGCTCTACTAGTAACGAATTGGTCACGTTCTGTTTAGTGACACTAAACCTTACTAAAAATAAAACGACACCATTGATAATATTTGCTCACGAAAACGTTCCCGGCGCGTCAAAGCTAACGCGGTTTTTTCCCCGTCCTCCTCCCCCCCGTCGCTGAACGCGACGCCGTTCCCAAATGCCTCCTGCATCCCCTTCTTCCTCCTAACCCGCATCGAGCACGAGGCATCTCAACCCCCCACCCCTCCCCACCCCCAGGCTATCGTCGACGGATCTCTCCCCCCCCACCTCTCCCCGCCCCAAGCATCGTCCGTTTCATCGCGCGCACCCCGCCCAGCAACCCCCGCCGCGCTCGCTTCCTTGTTCCCCACACGCTCGAACCTTCGACGGGTCTCACATTATATGCGCCTCAACTTCCGCGGCCGTGGGGGGGGGGTGGAGAGAATTTCTTTACGGGGGCCGGCTCGCGACACCACGCCCTACCGCGTGCGCCCATGGAATTCTGCTGCCGCTTGCGCTCTTTCCGCGTCAGACGCGATTTGGTCGCTGAGAAACTGGCACGGGGTGGCTCTGCCTTGCTGATTCTAACGATGCTGCTGCTGCAGTAGCCGGCGCAGACTTGAACCGTGGGGACGAGTTTGTTCACTTGTTTTGTATTTGTTTAAAGGGGGTGAGATGTTAACTACCTCGCCCTGTATGCAGGAGGTCGCGGGTTCGATCTCGACCTTGACGATGCCTGCTGCTGTATATTTGGAGTCTGCGCCTCTCTCTCTCTCCCTGTGGTGAGGCCACTCCGAGATGAGACAGGCACGGGTGGCTCCAGCTTGCTGCTGTAGCCGGTGCAGGCTTACCTGTGGATAGGGCGTTTGTGTAATACGAAGTCCTCTACCTATGGGAACTTTTCGTTCGTTCTCGTATCAAACCTACAGAAAAATAAGTTTTGGTTTTTATACTTTTCTTTGGCAATAGCAAAACAAGAGGTGTGTTAAGATGTTCAAACGCCCAATAGGTGTGATACCTTTGGCAAGGAGTGAAGTCTGCATTAACCACGCACACTTTAACCGCTAATTTGCGCTCAAAGTGTTTATTTACTTTAAGCGTTTCTTTTTTATAAATATAAATTCCAGCTCATTGACGTGTAAAGCGCGGAATTGTTTTTTTTTTATATATAGGTCGTCCTTGTGGCCTTATTTTCAATCGCAAACGATAGTGGCTCAGCGAAGTGGCCACCGTGGCGATGTGATCGCTTCATGCGTCAAACGTTAACAACGCCTACGTCGAAAAACAAAACCCCGCTAAAAGCGAACGACGCATTTTATTTGTCGCTTCAAGAAGTTTTTTATTCACGTCCTCCTTTAACGACCACCATGAAGGGTGATTTTTACTGTCGATCTCGTGGCCTTATTCTCAAAAGTTTAGCTCTTTCACTTGCACTGATGTTGTCGTCACCGCTTGCAGGGAACGGAGCCGGGAGCAGTGTGGGACGTCAGTTCTTCGGCACATTTATGCAGAACTCCGCAGACGGGATCGACGCGCTTGTGGTGGACTTCGCCAGCTACGACAGCAACGCTCAGGTCACCGTCTCGGTCCCCGCGGTGAACTTCTCACAGGCTGTCCTCCTGCCTCCCTTCTCCATCGGCAATGTATCCATCCCGGTAACGGCAATGATTGCAGGGAATGGCATTGTCACCAACAAGGTCGTGTCCGTTCGTTCTGACAGTGACATCTCAGTGTGGGGCATGTCCAAACGACTTTCAACTACCGATGGATTCATGATGATCCCTGAGCAGGAGCTGGGAATAGAATATTACGTAGTCGCTCCTGTGTCTGGTCGTTCGGCAATTAACGAATTCGCGATAGTCAGTCCCTACAACAACATGACGGTGCAGATGATTTTGAGCAGCAGTGTTACATTCAACGGTGTGACGTACTCGAACGAACTGAACATCACTCTGCAAGAGAACGAAGTCGTGCAGTTCCAAGGATCCTCTCTGACTGGGACCAGGGTATTTTCGAGTCAACCTGTGGCCGTGTTCAGTGGAGATTTGTGCATCGCTGTCCACACAGCCTGCAATTTTGTGACAGAGCAGCTTTTGCCAGTACCGACGTGGGGCTCCTCTTACCTGGTCTTCCCTGTGTCCATGAAGTCAACAGACGACAGCGTCATAATCACCTCGCCTATAAACACGAACGTTAGTGTCAATGTCAGTGTTGGTGGGAGTTTAACAACCTACACGTTGACCAATTATGGTCGCATCAGCGTACCTGTATATGCAAACCAGACTTTGTCTATTAACTCGTCTGTAAACGTAGGGGTCATGTACATATGCCAGGGAGGGTATCCGGTTCTAGGGTATTACATGGACCCCTTCCAGATGAACATCATACCGACCAGCAAGTTCTCAAACAAGTACCTGTTTGCGACTCAACCAGATTTTATAAACATGTTAATCGTGATCGCCAAGGATGCAGACAAATGTGGGATCGTCATCAACAACGAGCCACTGTGCGATAAGATCCAGTGGGTCCGGACAAACGACCTCCAATTCGTGGCCGGGGAGCTGAACCTGGGAAGTGGGAATCAGCAGTTCTGGGTGGAACACGCGACTCAGCCGTTCGGGCTCTACCTCTACGGGGTGGGAGACTATGATTCATTTGGTTACGTCCTCAGCTACGGCAACCTAAGAGGTAACTAAACGCTGAGCATCTGTTCCAAGATCAGCCAGACTTGGAGCATCGCAAATCTAACTTCTACTGCTGCTATTATTCCATACACGACGCCATTACAACCCCCACTACCACCCTCACCACGCCCCTCCCCATTTGTGACCTCGCCCAAATTTGATTGGCTGCAGTGTGATTACGTCACAATGCCTGTGCCATTACCGCCCTCCCCCCCCTGGTGGATGGGCTGAGTCTGTGCCCAACGGAAGTTGTGGGTAGAGGCGGCGCCCGCTGTGACTCGTCCACTTGGCTTGAGTATTTAATGGACCCTACTGATACCCACGTACTCACACAGAGGCCCAGAAGTATACAGATAACCACGGACTCCCATAGAGACCAACGGACCTACATAGAGACCCAGAGATGTACAGATACCCATGGACTTCTACAGAGACCTACAGACTCGTACAGATACCCATAGACACCCAAAGAGACCCACGGACATACAAAGAGACCCAGAGATGTACAGATACCCATGGACTTCCACAGAGACCAACAGACTCCTTCCTCTTCCTCCATGCGTTTGTCCCACTCCACGTGGGGGCGTTCCTCCGCTCTCCTTGCGAACCACCACGCCGCCCTGTTCCTGGGCCATCTCTCTTTCCGCTCCTTGGGTCACCACGATCCCATCGCACCCACCACATCGCACCCACCACATCGCACCCACCACATCGCACAACCACATCGTACCCACCACATCGCACCCACCACATCGCACCCACCACATCGCACCCACCACATCTCACCACTACATCTCACCACCACATCGCACCCACCACATCGCACCCACCACATCGCACCCACCACATCGCACCCACCACATCGCACCCACCTCTTCTGCCTTTCTTCCTCTCGACCCCCTTTCCATTAACTTGCATCTCTCGCCACCCTCTGACCCACGCGATGTTCCCGTCGCCTCTCCCGCACGACCAAACCACACCCAGAGCCCGTCCCTCTCTCCCTCTGTAGCGTAGTGTATAGTAGTGTGGTGTATAGTAGTATAGTGTTTATTAGTGTAGCTTATAGTAGTATAGTGTTTAGTAGTGTGGTGTATAGTAGTATAGTAGTGTAGCGTATAGTAGTATAGTGTATAGTAGTGTAGTGTATAGTAGTGTGGTGTATAGTAGTGTAGCGTATAGTAGTCTAGCAAATAGTAGTATAGTGTATAATAGTGTGGTGTATAGTAGTATAGTGTATAGTAGTGTGGTGTATAGTAGTGTAGTGTATAGTAGTGTAGTAGTATAGTGTATAGTAGTGTATAGTAGTGTGGTGTATAGTAGTATAGTGTATAGTAGTGTAGCATAAAGTAGTGTAGTGTATAGTAATGTAGTGTATAGTAGTGTAGTGTGTAGTAGTATAGTAGTATAATGTATAGTAGTGTAGCGTATAGTAGTTTAGTGTATAATAGTGTAGTGTATAGTAGTATAGTGTATAGTGTAGTGTATGGTAGTGTAGTGTATAGTGTAGTGGAAAGTAGTGAAGTGTATAGTGTAGTGTATAGCAGTGATGTGTATAGTGTAGTTTACAGTGTAGTGTATAGTAGTGTAGTGTATAGTAGTGTAGTGTATAATAGTGTCGTGTATAGTAGTGTAGTCTACAGTGGAGTGTGTAGTAGTGTATAGTAGTTTAGTGTATAGTAGTGTAGTGTATAGTAGTGTAGTGTATAGTAGTGTAGTGTATAGTGTAGTGTATAGTGTAGTGTAGTGTGCAGTGTAGTGTATAGTAGTGTAGTGTACAGTAGTGTAGTCTACAGTGTAGTGTATAGTAGTGTAGTGTACAGTGAAGTATATAGTAATCTCTTGGCGACTCTGATGCCTGCTTCAATAAATCTCTCGGAGATTTTGACGCCTCCACCATTTTATGATATGTTTAGTGAAAGTCTGTAACTAAAGAGTGTCCCGCGATGCTCTAGGCGGCGTCTGTCGCGTGAACCCCGACGCCGCGAGCGGCACCATCCAGTTCGCCGATTTACTCGCGAGACCCAATGTCGGCGACTGCCTCTGGACCATCACCGGCGCCGTGGGGACGGCCGTGATCCTTCGCTTTCAGACGTTCAGGTAATTGGTGCGGGGGGGTGGGGGGGGGGATAGGTGCACTCGCTCTGGCCTCCAGGTTTACCCCCGTATCATGACCCGCTTTCGGGCTACTAGAGTCCGCTCCGCCGATGAGTATGGATGGCCTTCGTACGACGGCGATGGAGGTTCAACGTACACGTGTGCTCATGCTAGAGGTTGTTTTTGGGGTTAGAGCGCGTAAGTACGAACGTCGGTTTCACACCTAGTAGGCTTTCGCCACCGATATCATCCATGACAGAGGTTTTTTTGGGGTTATATCGCCACCACCTGACACAACCAATTAGTAAGGTTTCGTGTCACGTAAACAGAACATGACCAATTCGTTACTAGTAGAGCACTAGTGGGTGGTGTAGTGTATAGTGTAGTGTATAGTGCAGTGTATAGTGTAGTGTGTTGTGGAGTGTTTAGTTTATAGCGTAAATTTACAAATCTGGCTGTCGCCCTATGAAGCTAGTTGTAATTACTGGCTAAACGTCGTACTCAAATTGTGAATGTTGTGGCATGGCTCTTCAACATACCGGTGTGATGTACAAGTGACAAACGGGCATGTTGTGTTTATATGGCAAACTTTACTCATTGGCTGTGTCGGGTGGCAGCGGGTTTAACGACACTTGTATATATTTAAGCGATCTAACCCCAAAAAAAACTGTATTATGGAAGTATAAATACATCATAACCTCCACCACCGACACAGCCAGCAAGGTTTGTCACGTAAACAACGCTCCAGTTAGTTACTACTTCAGCCCACCGGTTTGTTGGAGAGTAAAGTGCATTGTAAATCCACACATGTAGCCTGTTCTCCTATAATGCTCAGTTTTCATGACTCGAATCGGACATGAATGGATTACGGAACAAGTTTTTTAGAACGCGGATGCGAATTGGATATATAAACGCGATCGAGCTGACGGAACTACGTCGAGCGAGGTGGGGACAAGCGGTCGTTAGGATGCCTTGGCGGAGCATCATCACCACTCCACTTGGATGCTGCTGGATGCTTCTCAATGCTTCGCATGCACCTCAATCTCTATTCGGCCTTCATATGCAACTCACTAGTTGTCGTGGGCTGTGCTTTACCCTATATTATTCATTACAACGCGGTGTTCTTCAAGAAACGCAACTGCCGCATTATCATAGGACAAACTGTCAAGTACAACATTCTACATTTGAAGCTTTCGTGATTGCAAGGATTCATAATCTTAGGTTTTTTTTTCCTTTGGTAAAGTCACGTAGATAAAAAATTAAAATTAAAATTGATGAAGTAAAGTAAAAATGAAATAAAAATCACGACTTTTCGGAGGCAACACAAGTCTCCGTCATCAGGTGGGACCATCACAGCTAGATTTGCTTTATCAAGTGAGGCCTCAAGTGAGGCCCACCTGATGACAGAGACTTGTGTTGCCTCCGAAACGTCGTGATTTTTATTGTATTTTTTATTTTACTTTTATTAATTTTAATTTTTTACTTACGTTACTTTACCGAAAAAAAAACCTAAGAATACAAGTATATTTGGCCACCACTTTTTTTGGTGGCGGACATCCTTGATTTCGGCGGACATCTTTTATTCCAGAGGCCATTACAATGCGGTGTTCTTCAAGAAACGCAACTGCCGCATTGCTATAGGACAAACTTTCACGTACAACATACATACCGAGAGTAAAAATACAAATATATATGGCCACCACTTTTTTTGGTAGCGGACATCTTTGATTTCGGCGGACATCTTTTATTCCAGAGGCCATCTTTTATTCGTAATGTCAAAAAGTTTTGTGGTTTTGAAGCGTTCGCGGCCGTAACGAGAGCTCTGCTCAACGTAAGAATAGGTTTTACCCTTTCTGGCAATAAAACAATTGCGTTAAGATGTTAAAACACCAAACAGAAACCTTTTGCAAGGAATCATGTCACTGCATTAACCACGTATACTTCTGGTGAACATGCAAACTGAAATATGCTCTGGTAGTATAGGATGATACATTGTCTTTGAAACTGATTGGTCCACAACACCAGAAACAGCTTTCTTTAGAGCCTAGTCTCAAACGGCGTAAGACCAGAGGACAACGCCAAAAGGCGACCAGTGCCGGGACAATGTCACCGTCCGGGCGTATCACAGCAGCAGCTCTCCGCTGTCCGTGTCTGTGAAGTCTGCAGACGGGCGCCGAGGTCGTCTACATCTATGACGGACCGTCCGTGGACTCGCCGCTCCTGGGGAAGTACGGCCACGATGGCGTCCCGGCTCCCATCATCTCGTCCTCCAACACCTTGTCCATAAGGGCCACGTACGGCACGAGAGGAATCGCCGGCAACTTCAGCGCGTTTTACAGGGGTGAGTTTTTTGTCTATTTGTTTGTTTGTCTTGCTGCGATAACGCTGCGAGGCCCCCCCTCGCCTAACGAGGCGGCGAGACTCTGGCGGGACTCGCAAAAGGGCCGAGGCTCCCGCCAACCGCCACGTTCGTCGTCGTTCAGCGTTGTTGCGCTGGGGGGGGGCATTGTTTAACGACACAGCATATATATATTCACACGATCTAACCCCCCCCCCCCCCCCACAAATAAAACCTGCATCACGTGTCATAACCCTCCACCACCACCAGTGGGGTCACCGTGCAGGGAGACGCTCGTCGGAGGCCAGGGATCGCTGTCGTCGTCCAACTTCTCCGCGGCCGGCGAGAGGAGCGCCCTGTGCCGGTGGACCGTCCAGGTGGACCCCAGATACGAGGTCAAGCTGAGGTTCCAGCAGTTCAAGTGAGATCTCGATTGAGGAGGGGCGGTGGGGGGGGTCCGTTGTTTGCGCTCCACATTCCAGCGGCCATTGACCAAAGCTTTTGCTTTGGTCAACGGTACACGTAGGGCCGTGTTAAAAGTTCAGGCATGCGCTGCACACTGTACACGACTATGCTGCATTATACAATACACTCGACTATACGCGACAGTACGTGTGTGCACCTGTGTGTGTACCTATGTGTACTATATACTATACACGGCATTGCTATACACTACACTATACACGACTATGCACTTCTATACGTGCAACACTACACACCACACAAACTCGTACATGCTACACTACACTCCCTCACTCTCCCACCACCGCAGTTTGTCGTCAGACCCCAACTGCGTGAACGAGTCGCTGACCGTCTACGACGACAACGGCGACTCGCTGGGCGCGTTCTGCGGCAGCGTTGTGAGACCGCCCGGCCTGCGCTCGTCCTCCAACAGACTCCACCTCGTGCTCGACTCTCTTCGGGGGCTTCAAGGTGAGGCCACAGGGGGGGGGGGGTGGGGGGGTCCTTGGGAGGTGTCGACCCGGGGGGGGAGAGGGGGTCAGTCCTGTTCCCCTTCTCCTCTGCGAGGGAGCGGGTGTTGTGGGGTGGGACAGACAGATTCAACTAAATAGACGACAACAACAATGATCACAACAACAACACTAATGACGTTAGGGAGGTTGTCGTCTGTCCTCGGGAGGAGTGAGGCGACCTCCACAACAGCTGAGCACCGGGGCTTTGTGAAACTTGATTCGTGTCCTTCATGAGGACAGTCATACATCTGCAATGGCGACCAGACACGCGTCACCCTCATCGCCCTCCATGTCTTACGCAGCGTCACAAATCTTACACAAATATTACTCAGCAACACAAATATTACACAAATCTTATGCAGCATCACAAATCTTACACAAATCTTACACAGCAACATAAATCTTACACTCTTACACAGCATCACAAATCTCACACAAATCTTACGCAGAGTCACAAATCTTACACAAATCTTACACAAATCTTATACAGATCTTATGCAGTGTCACAAATCTTACACAAATCTCACACAAATCTTATGCAGTGTCACAAATCTTACACAAATCTTACTCAGCGTCACAAATCTCACGCAAATTTTACTCAGCATCACAAATCTTACACATCTCCCGCAGTGCCGCCCCCCCTCCCACGCTTCGCACTGCTATCGAAACTTACCCGAAACTCGCACCTCGAGTTTGTTAAAGGAAGTTAACTAACTTTGTTTGTTTGTTGTTGTTGTTGTTTATTATACAGGGGACGGAGTCGTCGTGAACTTTGAAACAATTAATCACATTAAGGTCTCGAAAAGTGAGTACGTCGCAACAGCGGCGAGTGCACCTCACTTGAACCCAAAGCCGCGTTCCTCGACACGTTTCAGCTATGAAACTAGATTCGAAGCTTTCGTGACTGCAGGAATTAGTCTTTGGTTCTGTCGGTAAAGTTACATTGAAAGAGATTAAATTAAATAATAACAGAATACGACATTTCTATTGCAACACGAGCAACCATCATCAGGTACAAATGAATGGGAAAACAAACATAGTAAACTTGGAAATATAATGCGAAGAAGAATGTATCAGCTGTGTTTTATTTGTAGCACGTGAGGCCCCAATGAGGTATGCTACGTGGCTGTTGTTCCAATAGCGATCTGACCGTCACAAATGATCGAAGCTCAACAATGTTGCTGATATCATCATCACCATAGCGTGTACATTCATACACATAAAGGCCCACAGAGGCCCATACAGACCCATAGAGACCAACAGAGAACCATAGAGACCCATAAAGACCCATCGAGATCCATAGAGACCCATAGAGACCCATACAGACCCACAAAGACCCATAGAGACCCACAGAGACCCATAGAGACCCACAAAGACCTATAGAGACCCATAGAGACCCACAGCAGCAGCAGGCATTGTCAGGGTCGGGATCGTACCGATGACGTGATTTCACTTCCATTTTTGCCGAATCGTTTTGATGACGAAATGACGTAATGACGCACTTCGTCAGAACGGGAGAGGGGCAAATTATAATGAAAGCGGACGGGATCGTGACCCTCCCGTTTCAACAGACGGGTGGGCAGAGCTCAATGCGTTAAAAACACCCACCCACCCATCAACCCCACTCACTCACTCACCCTCACACATACCCATCCACAAACCCCACCCACCAACCCCACCTACTCACCCACTCACATACCGACCCACTCACAAACCCACCCACCTATTCACCCACTCACATACCCACACACCCCACCACCCACTAACCCACTCACAAACCCACCCACTCACAAACCCACCCACCCACTCACATACCCACCCACCCCACCAACCCACTCACCCACTCACATACTCACCCACCACACCCACCCACACACATACCCACCCACCCCACCCACCCACTCACAAACCCACCCACTCACATACCCACCCACCCTACCCACCCACTCACATACCCACCCACCAACCTCACCTACTCACAAACCCACCCACTCACATACCCACCCACCCTACCCACCCACTCACCCACTCACATACCCACCCACCAACCCCACCTACTCACAAACCCACCCACTCACATACCCACCCACTCACCCACTCAAATACTCACCCACTCACATACCCACCCACCCCATTCACTCACCCACTCACCCACTCAAATACTCACCCACTCACATACCCACCCACCCCACCCAACCACCTACTCACCCACTGAAATACCCACCCACCCACCCACATACCCACCCATCTACCCACTCATCCACTCACACCCACTCACATACTCCACCCACCTACCAACCCCACTCACCACACCCACCCACCGCACCCCTCCTGTCGACGCGATCTCCGCCACCCTCCCGCAAGGCTGCGGCGTCGCCAACGCGTCCGTCCTGAGCGCCTGGCCCTGGCAGGTGACCGTCACGAGACAGACGGACCAGCTGCAGTGCCTCGGCTCCCTCCTGTCCGACTCGTGGGTGGTGACCGCGGCGAGCTGCCTGCTGGAGAGGTCAGCCCCTGGGCCTCGACACGGCGGCCCCGAGAGTTGTTGTCACCTAGTGGCCACCTCGAGTTCGGGATTTCGCGAGTTACTAAATGTGTTAATCACTTGCTCAGTGTGACAGTTCTGAATTATCGAGTTACTAAATGTGTGTTCATTAATCCCTCGCTATAGGCGCGCGCGTGTTCTGGATTTCGCGAGTTTTTTACATATTCGCGAGTTACTGAATACGCGCACTAATTCCCTACTCATGAGCGTACATGCCAGACCACCAACCAACTTTCGCACTCGTGTACGTGTGTTTTTGCATGTGTGTAAGCGTGTGTGTGTATGTACATGTGTGTATGTACGTGTGTATGTGCGTGTGTGTATGTACGCGTGTCTGTATGTGTGTGTATGTATGTGCGTGTGTGTATGTGTGTGTCTGTGCGTGTGTGCATGTACGAGTGTGTGTGTATATGCGTGTGTGTATGTACGTGTGTATATACGTGTGTGTGTGTGTGTGTACGCGCCTGCACGTCCGTTCAGCCCCGGCAACTACAGCTGGAGCTGCACCACGGCCTCTGGCGAGCAGTCTGGACGTGACGGCCATCTTGGTCGACCCCAAGTTCTCCGCAGCGACGGGCGCCCACGACGTCGCCATGCTGCGGCTGGGCCGGCCGGCGACTTTGGGGCCGGCCGTGCAGGCGGTGTGCCTGCCCTCGCGGCACGAGCAGAGCCCCCTGCTGGGACGCAGCTGCCAGGCGCTGGGCTTGCGGCGCAGCGATGGTGCGTAGAGTATAGTGTATAGCTCGTATATTAGTGTACGTCATGTAGTGTGTAGTGTATAGCTGGTACGTTAGTGTACGTCATGTAGTGTATAGCTAGTACGTTAGTGTATGTCATGTAGTGTATCGTGTATAGCTAGTACGTTAGTGTACGTCATGTAGTGTGTAGTGTATAGCTAGTACGTTAGTGTACGTCATGTAGTGTGTAGTGTATAGCTAGTACGTTAGTGTACGTCATGTAGTGTGTAGTGTATAGCTAGTACGTTAGTGTATGTCACGTAGTGTATAGTGTGTAGCTAGTATGTTAGTGTACGTCATGTAGTGTGTAGTGTATAGCTAGTACGTTAGGGTACGTCATGTAGTGTATAGTGTATAGCTAGTACGTTAGTGTACGTCACGTAGTGTGTAGTGTATAGCTAGTGCGTTAGTGTACGTCATTTAGTGTATAGTGTATAGCTAGTACGTTAGTGTACGTCATGTAGTGTATAGTGTACAGCTAGTACATTAGGGTACGTCATGTAGTGTATAGTGTACAGCTAGTACATTAGGGTACGTCATGTAGTGTATAGTGTATAGCTAGGGCGTTATAATATGTACACGTATTGTATAGTGTATATCTAATGTACTGGAATAGGTCATTTAGTGTATGTGTGTGAAATTATTGGTGATAATGTAATGGGTTCAATTTAGGCGCACACACTTATTGGGAGGCAACACTCATTTATTAATGAACACAACGGTTACTCAACAGTTACTCTTACTCTACACATAGGGTGGTGACCACCGACCTTCCCTAGCTAACACACACACTTGTCTCTTAGTTACTCCAGCGTGACCCATCCAGGTGGCTGCTGGCAGGTCCGCTCACTGTCGGCCTTCTCTTCTTGGCATCTTCACGAGGCGTCTTCATTCTTCGCAGGAACAGCCTCGAACCTCCTGAGGCGGCTGCTTATATGGGCCTCGACGTGCCCGGGCCCCACCCCGGCCACTGCTGTCCACGTGCCCCCCGAGGTCCCAACGCGCGAACATCTCCGCGGTTTCCCACGCGTGTACAAAATGGCGGCCCAACGCGCGAACATCTCCGCGGTTTCCCGCGCGCGTACAAAATGGCGGCCCAACGCGCGAACATCTCCGCGGTTTCCCGCGCGCGTACAAAATGGCGGCCCAAAGCGCGAACATCTCCGCGGTTTCCCGCGCGCGTACAAAATGGCGGCCCAACACGCGAACATCTCCGCGGTTTCCCGCGCGCGTACAAAATGGCGGCCCAACGCGCGAACATCTCCGCGGTTTCCCGCGCGCGTGCAAAATGGCGGCCCAACGCGCGAACATCTCCGCGGTTTCCCGCGCACGTACAAAATGGCGGCCCAACGCGCGAACATTTCTGCGGTTTCCCGCGCGCGTACAAAATAGCGTCCTAACACGCGAACATCTCCCTGGTTTCCCGCGCGCGTACAAAATGGCGGCCCAACACGCGAACATCTCCGCGGTTTCCCGCGCACGTACAAAATGGCGGCCAAACGCGCAAACTTTCTCCGCGGTTTCCCGCGCGCATACAAAATGGCGGCCCAACGCGCGAACATCTCCGCGGTTTCCCGCGCGCATACAAAATGGCGTCCCAACGCGCGAACATCTCCGTGGTTTCCCGCGCGCGTACAAAATGGCGGCCCAACGCGCGAACATCTCCGCGGTTTCCCACGCGCGTACAAAATGGCGGTCCAACGCGCCCCACCCCGGCCACGCCTCCCTTCGAGCACCCTCTCGAAGCCCCCACTGCTGTCCACGTGCCCCCCTGAGGTCCCCCTGGACCCCCGGCCCCCACTGGGATCCGGTCACGTGTCCAGCACCGGCCCTGACGTCATTCCCGCCTCCAGCCGGGATGACGTCATGTGTGTGTGTAGACCCACATGGAAGTAACGCTCCCGGCACAGTGACATCTTACGTGCGCACACAGTAATGATACCACAATCATTACAATAACATTAGCGACAATGCCGATGATGTCACGGCCTGTACGCCTGTGAGATCATCATCATCTACGCCTGTGACATCATCATCGTCATCTCTCCCCCCCCCCCACCCCCCAGGCTCTGTGTCGGCCCCCGCCGCTGAGGGCAACGTGCGCCTGGTGAACGAGTCACTGTGCACGCAGGCGTGGGGCAACTTCAGCCGCGGCATGAAGATATGTGCAGCCAAGCGTCAGGGATGGGCCAGTAGCTGTCAGGTGATGCAACACTACACTATACACTACACTATATACTATACACTACTACACTATACACTACACTACACTATACACTACTTCACTACACTACACACTACACTATACACTATACTATACACTACACATTACACTACACTATACACTACACTATACACTACACTACACACTACACTACACTACACACTACATTATACACTACACTATACACTACACTACACACTACACTATACACTACACTATACACTACTACACTATACACTACACTGCACACTACACTATACATACAAAGACAAAGATCCCCCGTATAGCCTGAACAGACTGTAGGGGCAAGTGCTGTTAGCGAGCACCTATGAAGGCCGGAACGGTACACGAGGGGGTGGGTGGCCAGCACCACGCCCGACCGCCTTTGTCTCCCTAGTGGCGATGTTTACACACCACACCAGGTACTCATTTAAGGCTGAGTCGACCTAGGGGAGGCCCTGGACCGGTTCAGATAATCGTCACTGGTGTTAGCCGTGAGCGGGAATCGAACCCGGGTCGCCAGGTTCATAGCGCAGCGCGCTAACCGCTACACTACCACTCCCTACTATACATACATACACACATACACATACAGACACACACACATATACACAACATCAACAACCGCCATTCTCCACTAAGTGGCGGTGACGTCCCCACGACACTTGTGCCAGGCCATGTACACACACAAACATATACAGACACACACAAACATATAGACACACACGCACACACAAAGGGTGTCCCACTTGGGTGCTTGAAACATCATCAACGTCAATCACCACTCCGCCTTTCCGCCTTCCCCAGCTGGGCCAGGGCGGTGGCGTCTTCTGCCTGGGCACGGACAGGAGGTGGTACCTGACGGGCATCGACAGCCGCCGTGCCGACTGCGCAAACGCAACCCAGCCGGCCGCCTACGGGCGCGTGTGGAAATCCCTCGCCTGGATCGAGGGGAACCTCCCTTACTGACGACGGAGACGCGCCTCTGGCTCTGCTCCCAGCCAGATAACCAGATAACCGGATAGACAGATAACCAGATAGCCGGATAACCAGATAGCCAGATAACCAGATAGCCAGATAGCCAGATGGCCAGATAGCCAGATAGCCAGCCCACCAGCTAACTATCCAATCAGATAGTCAGTCAGCTAGCCAGCCAGTCAGCTACAATATCACTCACCAACTCACTCACCAACTCACCAGTACACTCACCAACTCACTCACCAACTCGCTCACCAACTCACTCACCAACTCACCAGTACACTCACCAACTCGCTCACCAACTCGCCAACTCACTCACCAACTCACCGGTAGACTCACCAACTCACAACTCACCAACTCACCAGTACACTCACCAACTCACAACTCACTCACCAACTCGCTCACCAACTCACTCACCAACTCACCAGTACACTCACCAACTCGCCAACTCACTCCCCAACTCACCGGTACACTCACCAACTCACAACTCACCAACTCACTCACCAACTCACCAGTACACTCACCAACTCACAACTCACTCACCAACTCGCTGGCTAGCCAGATAGCCGGCTAGCAAGCCATCCAGCCAGCTCAATATATAGCCAGCCCACCTGCTAACTATCTAGCCAGATAGGCAAGTTGCCGCTAGCCAGCGAGATAGACAGCCAGCTACGACCAAGCCTACAGCTACCGCGATCGCTGTCGCTCTTGGGAGGGGAGAATGAAAGACGGGATGACCACGAATGAAACGTTTATTTTTTCTTTCAGTTACCATTTTACTATAAAATATATAACTAGCTGTACTAACGCGGCTTTCGCCCGGGACTTGGATTCACCACACCCGGCCGCCTTTGTCCCCCCCTAGTGGCGATGTTCACACATCACAGCAGTTGCTCGTTTGAGGCTGAGTCGACCTAGGGGAGGCCCGGTTAAAATAATCGTCAGCGGTGGTGGCCGTGAGCGGGAATCGATCTCGGGTCGCCGGGTTCGTAGCGCGGCGTAGCGCTACCCGCTACACTACAATGCACCAGTCACGTGACAGATGTGACGTCACAGCTCACTTGCCGTGCAAAAAATCTCTGCATTATTGAGCTCCACCCCCCCCCCCCCCCCCCCAAAAAAACACAATAGTGTATTTTTATAATGTTTGCATGGTGTAGAGTCTGGAAAATACCCACATGGCAAATTTCAAGTTTGTTGCATGTCGGGAAGTACGCAAAACATTTTGAACAGACACACATAATCACAACTTTGCCTTTTATATATATGGAGATGTGTATTTTTTTATATATAGAGTGTCTATATATAATATATTATAAATCTTCTTCTTTGCCTTGAAGGGAAACGTTTTGTGGATCGACTTTAATCTCCAATTTCCGTTCAATTCTTCGTGCTTCCATCTTGGCTTTTGTGGCACTGACGTCACTCACGAGCGATGACGCTCACTGACGTCACTCACGAGCGATGACGCTAACTGACGTCACGGATGGCGGTGACACAGTGTTGGTGATTTGTGTGGGGTGGTTTTTTCGCGGTGTAAATTTTGTGTCCAATTTGTTGTTGTTGTTATTTTTATTTTGGCGACACGACAATAAATGGTCACGGATTTTGGTGACGGACACACAAAGCTCCCCCAGGTAGCCTCTAGCAGGGCTGTAGGGGCAAGTGCTGCTAGTAGCGAGTGGCACCGCCTATGATGTACACACAGACAAAGCTCCCCCAGGTAGACTTTAGCAGGGCTGTAGGGATAAGTGCTGCTAGTAGCGAGTAGCAGCACCTATGATGTACACACAAACAAAGCTCCCCCAGGTAGCCTCTAGCAGGGCTGAAGGAACAAGTGCTTTTAGCGAGTAGCAGTACCTATGAAGGCTGACAACCGGCTTCACACGAGGGGGTGGGGTGGACCAGGACTACGCCCGCCCGGCCGCCTTTGTCTCTCCAGTGGCGATGTTCACACACCGCACCAGGTACTCATTTGAGGCTGAGTCGACCTAGGGGAGGCCCAGGACCGGTGCAGATTATCGTCACCGGTGGTGTTTGGCCATGAGTGAGAATCGAACTCGGGTTGCCAGGTTCGTAGCGCAGGGTAGCGCTATACACTACACTACCACTCCCTACACAGACACACACACACACGTACACAATACACACACATACACAATACAAACGTACACAATACACAGGTACACACATACACGTGTGAATGTTGTCTTTATTGCCTTAAAAGGTTTAGTGCGACTGCTAAAAACGTCTTTATTGAAATCATCATGAATCAGGATACGTTACTTATTACACCCATCACACACACAAAGTGCCTTGCCACAAATGAACCACAATTCTCTCGCCGATCTCGTCAAGGAGCATGAAACATCGTCACGCCAAACTCCTCCGGTCATCGCAGCAGCAGCAGCAGCAGCGGCGGCGGATTTTGGATGGCCATCAAACGAAGACGGTGGTCACCGCTTCATCGCTGCGGCCCTTTCAGACGCGCTCCTGCGGCCGTCTGGAACGCTCCTCCCTTCCGATATCAGGAAGCGACCGGGAGATGCGCACACTTGGAAATAATCATCATCACCTAGATTTGACAAACTCATTGCTTCACAGAACTGCTCCTTACACCATTGGTACCTCATTTGCCAGTAAAAAATATGGTAATTGTTTTTTTACCCTTTTATCTGCCAACATAACTGACACCTTTTTTTACGAGGAGTCATGTTTGCATAGACCACAATACCTGCAGTCCACACCCGAGACAGCTTTCCTTAGAGCCCAGTCTCACATGGTGTTGGACCAGATGACGCCAAAAGACGCACAACTCAAAGACAATGCACCATCAGAGTATGAGAGCTCGGGGTAAGAATTTACACCATTGGAACCTCATTTGCCAGTAAAAAAATATGATAATTGGTTTTTAACCCTTCTATATGTCAACAAAACTGACACCTTTTTTTATGTGAGACTCGGCTCTAAGGAAAGCTGTCTCGGGTGTGGACCAGTGCATATCATTATCAGAGTTATGTTTTTTGTTTGCATTATGACTGCAGGTATTGTGGTCTATGCAAGCATGACTCCTCGTAAAAAAGGTGTCAGTTTTGTTGCCAGATAAAAGGGTAAAAAAAACAATTATCGTTGTATTTCCCAGCCCCGCGCACCTCCCGAACACAGCGGCAAGCGGTTCCAGTCTATTGTCCTTCCCCCCCCTCCCTGCACCTCCAATTAAGTTTATGTCAAGGTGCGAAAGAAGTTCAACACACACACAAAGATCCGCCGTGTAGCCTTAACAAACTGTAGGGGCAAATGCTGTTAGCGAGCACCTATGAAGGCCGGAACGGCACACGAACGAGGGGGTGGGTGGCCAGCACCACGCCCGGCAGCCTTTGTCTTTCTAGTTGCCGTGTTTACTACACTACCGCTACACCAGGTACTCGTTTTTGAACCCGAGTCGACCTAGGGGAGGAGTCCCAGGACCGGTTCAGATAATCGTCACTGATGTTGGCCGTGAGCGGGAATCGAACTCGGGTCGCTGGGTTCGTAGCGCAGTGCGCTAACCACTACACTACCGCTCCCCACACACAGACACACACACACAGACACACGTGCTCACGTGCCAGCTAGGGTGACTTCTCATTGGTCAGTCGAGTGACCACTACCATCACCACTGGTCAAGTATTCACCACATTGCATTTATAAAGGGGTACGGGGTGACCAGTGAGGACTGACTTGGTATTTTTCTAAGGCAGGGCAGCACTGATAAGGGGTTGACAGGCATGTTAACTTGAATCAAATGCGTGTCTAATCATTTCCTGGATAGGTTTAATTACGAAGAAACTAAACATTTAAAAACACATCCATTTTTTAAAAGTGTCAAAAGTTAGAGGGTGGTGGTGGTGGTGGGTTGGGTCAGTCTGACGTCAGTGATTGGACGGATTCACGCAGCCACGCGATTGGTCGCCTACGCATCAATAATCTCTCGCATCCGATTGGTCGATATATTGCTCCCTCCGCCGGCTGTGTTTGAGGTTAAGGTCACGTTGATGTTTTAATTTTAGTATTCTTTTGTTCTTTCGGTAAAGTCACGTAGATAGAAAAAAAAATAAAGTGAATAGAAATACAATTTTAAAAAACCACGACGATCATCTTCCTGCTGAAGACGATCCCCGGTGTTGTGATCGAAACTTTGTGGTTTCTATTTTGTATCTTTGTTCACTTAATTTTTTTTTCTATCTACGTGACTTTTAACCGAAAGCACCAAAGAATGTGAATTCCTGCTGTCACGAAAGTTTTAAGTCAAGGTTAGAAAAAATTGTAGGTTAACAAAAAAATATTTGATGGACATTCCACATTCCTATGGCAAAACGGCTCAGGACGGATGCCGAAAAAGATTATTTGCACAAACAGGAAGGTGATGCCAATTAGTTTGATTGTTGTTGTTGTTATTGACCACTGGTAGGCAGACGAGGATGACGAGCCAAGTCAACTCTCTACGGGAGGAGTTGAACCGCTTATAGATATAACTCCACCCCCAACGTACAGGTGAGTCTTTCACATACAGGTGAGTCAACCTGTGCGTGGAAACGTCACCTACCAGAAAAAAAGTCCTCCCTCACCCACCTCACCTATTCCCCCCCCCCTCCCCTAACCACCCACCACCCTCCCCACCTCTACAGGTGAACACCGGCTGCCCAGGTGAGCAACGATGCGAGGATGAGGAGGGAGGTGGTGAGGCCGAGCGACGGAGGGTGTTGGCCGGGCGCTGCGGCGGTGGGCGATGGTGTGGCCGGCGAGAGGGTGGTGGTGGTGGCGTTGGCGGTGTCCATGAAGTAGACGGCACGGGTGCCCAGGCTCTGGACGGGGCGGGAGTTGTTGACCAGCGGCTCCATCTTCCTCGGCATCGTAGAACAAGAGGGTGCTGAACAGATCAAGCTGTGGGCGGTGCGGGTGGGTGAGCGGTTGGGGCAGTGGTTTAGCAAACAACAACAACAACCACACAGGACAACACACACCTACACATACACAGCTATACCGACACACACACAGGTACACACACACCTACACACACACACGTATACCCACACACACACAGGTACACACACACCTATACCCACACACACACAGGTACACACACACCTACACACACACACCTATACCCCCACACACACAGGTACACACACACCTATACCCACACACACACCTACACACACACACCTACACACACAGGTAGACACAACAACCGCCGTTCGCCACTAAGTGGCGGTGACGTCACCACGACGCTTGTGCCAGGCCATGTGCCGACTGACCGAGACGACCGAGATGACTGGCTGATGCACCACCTGTGCCCCCTACTGTGCCAACTTGCCGTGCTTTATCCACCCGGCGCTCCGCTCGTTGTTGTGAGCGTCGCTCCTCCGCCCTCCGTTGTTGTTGGAGGGCGACTGCCTCCAACTACCCAGTAGCGTCCTTCACGAGCCTCCTCCACTGAGGCCGATCTTGACACCGCTGGTACCAGTCATCGGCAAGTCCACTCAGCTCCACGTCCTCCTGTACCACATCACTCCATCTCTTCTCTAGCCCGTGCCGCGCCCGTTTTACCCCCTCGATCCGGCCGAACAAAAGCTGTTTAGGCATGCGGTGGCTGGGCATGCGGGCTACATGGCCCAGCCAACACAACCTTGCCTGCCGGAGGAGCTCACCGATGGGACCACATACACACATACACTAACACACACACACCACACTCCCTACACACCACACACACCACACCTGTGCTTGCCCCAGCGAGAGTGGCTTCTTGAAAACGCTCCAGATCACCGACTCGTCACAGGTGGGCGTCGTGAGAGAGCCGTTGTATCGGTAGAAGGAGCCGGCGTTCGATGCGAGCGCTCCCGGCACAAACGACAGGAGGCTCGGAGCCGTCACGCTGCTGTTCATGCCTAGGGCGGACGGGGGGGGGGGAACAATGAGATCGAGACAAAATTCGTAAGAATGAAATAATGGCGAGCGATCGATAATTTATCGTGATGATTAATAATAGACGTGCTCCATTGGAACCTCATTTGCCAGTAAAAAATATGATAATTGTTTTTTTACCCTTCTATCTGGCAACAAAACTGACACATTTTTTTACAAGGAGACATGTTTGCATTGACCACAATACCTGCGGTCATAATGCAAACAAAAAACACACAACTCTGATAATGATATGCACTGTCCTTGAAGTTGATTGGTCCATGCCCGAGACAGCTTTCCTTAGAGCCTAGTCTCACATGGTGTTGGACCAGATGACGCTAAAAGGCGTTATGACTGCAGGTATTGTGGTCTATGCAAACATGACTCCTCGTAAAAAAAGGTGTCAGTTTTGTTGCCAGATAGAAGGGTAAAAAACCAACGATAATAGACGTGCTGTTGATAAGTTAATGATGATTAATGACTATTGGTAATGAATAAATAATTTTTCATATTGTTGATGAATAATAAACGTATTGTTAATACATATTAATAAATGATTGCTATGAATATTTAATAAATGATTAATATTTACTAAAATTGTTGATAACAAATAATGATTAATAAATACACACACGCAGTACACACACACCACGTGTGTACTGTGTGTGGACTGTGTGTGTG